ACAAATATGAAACATACCACATACGCAACGTGGCCAACTTATCAAAGGACCATTGAGCTAAGGATCAGTGGTCGTTGTGCTAATAGCCCCTATTCATTAACCGGCCAACCCTCGAATCAATTTGCAATGAACCCTTTAAGTAAGCTGCAGCTTAGACTCACCCTGCTTGCTTACCCTGCTTGCTCCACCTGCATTTGTCTGCGGCTGCAAATTGCCGTTAAACTTAATGAGCATTTTGGCCATAAAATCACTTGGCACGGCTCAATTGCCACGACGCCTGGCAGCCGGCACAATTTATTTGACTGTTAATTAGAAATTTAAATTATGCGCTTAGCCTTTGCCCCCGAAGATGGCAAACCTCCTCGAAGCCACCTTCCAACCATCGAGACCGCCACCGTTCACCATTCGCCATTCAATTGGCGCTGCACAAAATTAATTGCAGGCAACCGGCGCCTTGGAGCATCGTTTGCGCCCTGGCAAATTCGAAATAATTTATAATTTGGCACAATTACGCTCAGCCGCAGGCTGCCCTCGTCCTTTGTCCTTCGACGGCTGCTCCTTGCCGCAGGAGGCAGGGCCATGAACTGGCCTGATCTGCTCCCCTGGTTCGGTTTTGGGTTCGGGGTTTGGGGTTTTTCGGGGGCCCCGGGGTTATATGGGTCATTTGCCATGCAATTGCATTTTATTGATTTTCCTGGTTTCTCTGGATGGCCAGCTGGTTGGGAGGATGGCTGGTAGAATGGCTGGCTCGCTGAATGGCGGAGATGTAATAAACTTTCACTTGTTTTGTCGCCGTCGCCTCGAAGCGGGAAAGCGGAAATCAGCGGGCGCCGCGGGAAAGTTGTGGACACTGGTAAACACATTGCTCATAGCCAAAACATTTGGCACACTGCCCCGTCCAGACAACCGGGAATGCACTGCCCGAGAAAATGGGTTAGGAAAACCAAAAAGATGTCATGCATTTAACTACAATTTAATACATAAGATAAAGATTTAATAAATTAAACAATTAATTGTGAAGCAATTTTGGAATAAAATCCTTCTAAAAACATTAACACATCTTAAGATTAAAAGAATAGTTCTTCAAACTCTTGAATTATAAAAAAATTATTGGGAACTAACAATCATTGTTATTATCTATGACATTATAACTGCTCAAATAAAATTAAAATAAATGTTTTAAAATGTTTCCACTCACATTTCAAACCATTAATATTTTTTTTCAATTTATTTAGATTAAATTAATTAAATAAAATTAAGAGAATAATATAACATAGTTCATTGGTTAAATTATTCCTATCTATCCTATCTGCTATTAGAACTGAGTAAATAAATTATAAAACAAAAGTTTTAAAAATGGGTCAAGTTTCATCTAAAATCAAAAACATTTTAAACATTTGAATTCGTTAAATTAAGGGGAATATTTTAATTTACTTTATAGATTTTTCACTTCATTGGCTCTGCTAAAAACAGTTTTCCTTTCCGGCAGCAAAAGGGTGCTTCCTTTGAAAACTCGAAAATAATATCTTGACTTTACTAAGCTTCGGCTTAAATGACCATCAACTTTCGGATTGCCGGATTAGAGTAAGATAAATCTGATTCTTTTTTTCTCACTGTGCAGCAGCAGCGCACCAGCAGATCTGGCTGGGATTGTCAAGTGGTTTTTGGCTCGGCACCGAGATTTGGCTATGCTTTTGTGATTTCTTTTCTGCTGGTCCATTGTTTGCCCAGAAATTGGGTCAATAGCCTTTTCGGGGGAGGTGTTCGTACCGCCCGCAGCATCTGATGATTTTGCTTTTGCTTTTGCTTTTCCTGCTGCTGCTTTTGCTGCTGCTGATGATGATAATGATGGGGATGATGGGAATAATGGGGATGATGTGTAGGATGTGGATGATGGGCAGCGTGCCTGGCCTGGTCGAGACTTGCAGCCATTGTTTCAAGTTCTGTGCATGTAATTTCCTCATGCTCGTGCAGCATGCTTTTTCACTTTTCCTGCTGCTGCTGCCACACTGATTACGGCTGCTTGTTAGTGCGTTTGACTGTGCGGTTTTTATGCTCGTTTACATGCATGTATTTGTATACCTAAAGTCCTTGCCAAGCTCTAAGCACCACCCACTATCCTTCACCCACCGCACACTCACCACTCTGCACTTTTGCCAAAATACACATTTTAGCTTAATTCGCAACTTGTTAGCTGGCAGCAAAACAATCTGCCGTCGGTCTCGCCAAAAACTCATGTGTAAACAAATCAAACTTGAAACTAAAGCTTAGCCCCCCGAACATTTCGCAATAATGAGCAATGCTCCGGGGGCCAAAAGAAAACTTGGTCCTGGCCTGGCAACAAGTGGAGCCAGAGCCCCCGAAAACGAAGCCAACTTTGTTGTTAAATCAGCTTTAAGCTGCAACAGCTATTTGGTGAATCTCAAGATATGCCCATGTTTGCCAAGTTCCTTCTTTTCATTTCGAAGAAACAAAGGTCCTTCGCCCTTCCATTTCCATCCTATCCAAAAGGAGCCACTTGTCTCGATTCCGGATTTAGCCGACGAGCGTTGTTTAAAATGCGTAACCATATCCCGGCCATGAATTTATGCAGTCAACTGTGTAAAAGGCGTAAAATGTCCAAAGACCATCATCGGTGGCATCGTGGGCGGTGGCTCGTCTTCTTCGAGTGGCATTTGTTTTGCTTGGAAGGAAGCCGCCGCAAGGACTACTTCCCAGTACGGTAGTCGCAGCCAACCGGCGGCCTCTTCATTTATTTCATGCTCCATTGCATTGCGATATGTGTCAGGAAGCGGACAATCAGGCACTGCGAAAAATATGTAATGCGACAGCGAAGTGAAACTAATAATATTATTTCAACAAACAGTAAAATATATTTTGCAAAAATAAATGAACTTATATATTTCTTAAGTTTAGAAAATTAAGGTTTAATACAACAAATATAATTACTTATTATGTTAAAGATACAATATTATTTTAAATCTATAACAGGCAGAACTAAATCAATTTTTATAACTTATACAAATTTAATTTACATATTATTTTATAAACTAAATATTAAAATATATGTTTTAAATACATTTTCCAAAAAATAATTTAATATATATATTTTTATTTGTTAATAAGTGGAGGTTTTGTACAACAAATTTTATTTAAATATTTTTTTGCCTTAAAAAACACTCAGGGAAAAGGGAATTTCCTTAACTTAAAGTAGCAATATTTTAAATTGATATTAAATAGTATACATATAAAAAAATCTATTTTATAACTTTAAATTCTAAATATTCTATTTATTAAAAAAAATATATTTATTTCATCTATTTATTTTATATATTTTTTTTAAGCCAAGAACCTTTTTCTGTGCATCTTTAAACACGAAGGCCTGGGAACCACATAAGACACCATCTCTTCTGATCCATCTGGAAGTTGTTTGGGCAGCACACCATATATGTACGTACTCGCACTCGTTGTTTTTATTCAATTACCAATTCGAATTCGAATGCTGTCATTGCCCCACTCCACTCCACTTCATTTCACTTCACTTCCATAGCCAAGCAGCTGCAGCCGTTTGTCTTGCCAATTGGCCAAAGCCATCGACAAACCGAACCCAAACGGAACATTATTGTAATTCAGGCAGCTACCAACCAAGCAGCCAACCAACCAACCAACCAACTCTCGATTTTAAATTGTTTGGAAGCAATAAAAAGTTTATCAAGTGTAAAGCGAAAAACAGCGAGCGAAGCCCTTGACTTTCGGCACTCAGTGTTAATTGTTTTGAGCTTTAAGTTGGCAAAATGGTGCCACATTTCAAGGACCCGGTGCAAAGTAAGGCTCCCAGGGGGCTTTGTTCGTGGCAAAAGTAATACATACCTAAAAACAATGGCCTATGGGAGACCCAAAAACCAAAAACACCCACACAAAGGCAGAAACAGAGGCTGAGAGAGAAAAACGCACAGCAAATAAATCAATTGGCTTTGCCTAAAACGTTTGAAATTGATTTCAAGTTCTTCGGCCCATTGTTTTTATATGCAACAAAGGGACAATTTTTCATTTCCAAAGACAACAATAAAAGCAACACAAGGTCCTTTTCATGGCAGCACACACACACACATGCGGTCGATCCCTGGGCATGTAAATTGGCCGCATTGTTTATGAGCTCCGCCATCCTCCTCCGTTCCCTCCAGTCCAGTCACTCCCTTAGACTCGTCCTTCTAGGGACTATTGATTGTCAATTCAGTTTAAGCGCCGCCCATAAATTCTGTAAATGAGCAGAGGTCCAGCCCAAGCGGCTGCCATTCTTCTTAATTTGCTGAAATGCACAAAAACAATTTTCAAATTGCACCAAAGACGCCCACAACGCGAATTCGATTTTATTTTCTTCAGGGAGTTAGTTTGTCTTGATTCCTAAATCTGTAATAGCATTAAATATTATATAATTATTATTATTATTATATAAAAGATTTCTGAAAAGTAGAAATGCAATTTTTTGGTTTTTATTTATACTTATCGAAATGTTAAAAAAAAACTTCAAATCGGACCATTTATAAAAAGGTTATAAACAAATAATGTAATGAAATTCAAGCAGTCGCTTTGCTGCATGCATATCTCCATCTCCCTTGTACTTCCTTTAGCTGAATAACGGGTATCTGATAGTCGAGGTTTTCCATTTTGTTAATTTCTTTACCTCTAGAGATTAAATACTAGAACTAAGAATTTTTTAAACTCCCAATCGGAATAAGAATGCCAAAGGCTATCGAGTTGCGCTTCAAATGTTTGTGTGTACGGCGTGTGTTTGGTCATTAGAACTGACACATTGTCAACACGCAACAACTGCCAGCAACTGACAGCCGTCAACTGTTTATGTTTGCCATTTAGCAGGCAAAACATTTTGATTACGCATACGCCATGTGGATCGAAGCGACGTTTGTTGCTTTGACAGGCGCCTCGAATTCCGTTCGCCCATAAATAAAAGTCAGCTGCTGGTCATCAGTCGATTGGAGATGCATTCGCTGCTTGTTTGTGTTTCAGCGCTTTGCTTTTGTCAGCTTTTCGAAGCGGTTAATGGAAGTGGAACCCTCTGCAAGGATTGTCGAGTGAATGTTATATATCCTGGTAGGGGAAAAATTCCACAGCAGCTCCCCGAAAATCATCTAATAGTTCGCATCATCAACGAGTACAGACGAGTCAGCCGGGAGGAAGTGCAATATCGAGATGAGATCAGACTGTTAAGGTTAAAGGCAAAGGAGTTCAGCTTTATAGGAAAGTTAAGGGTAGACAATACCATACGATGCAGTGCAGCCCTGGTGGCTTCCAGTTTGGTGATTACCTCAACTGCTTGCTTTTCAAATGAAAGCCCACAGGAAATTGAAGTTATCTTTAGGAACGGAAGAACTTTCACTGTGGATAAGATAGTGAAACCCGACTTCTGTCCTGAGCTCAGTTTACTGCACTTGGAGGTCGCCACTGAAATCAAACCCATTGGTCTATGCCATGGGGATCTTCCCTTGGGCATCAGTGCCTCTATGATGATGGCCAGTCCTGATCTCAGTTTTTACGGCCGTCGTCGCACTCAAATCATCTCGAATCGAGCCTGCAAGACCACATTTATGGAAGACGATTCTGTTTTTATAACCTCCAATATGATGTGTGCCTTGAACTCTGTAAGACCTGAGAAATGTGGCACTTCTCCAGGAGACGCCCTGCTGATAGACCATCAATTGTGCGGCTTAAATGCTTATGGATTTCGCTGTTTCGCCAATGCTTTGAATGGCGATCTCTACATAAATCTTAGTAAGCTCCAACCCATGATCAACGATTTGATACGGAAACTTAATGGTTAAAGTATGGAAATTCAAATCTGATACGGAAGATTGGAAGATTTTTAATAATTTTTCATGTGGTAAAAAGGTTCAGTTATGCATCTAGAGACCCTAGTTATAGTACTAGTAGTATCCCAAGAGATTTTTGGATCTTTGGAATCAGTACCACAGATGAATGTTGGGGAAATACCTAGAAACGGCCAGCTCTTTCAGATAGTGCGTGTCATTGAGTATATAGTGCCATATCCCTACCAGAGATCCCCCAAAATATCTGCTAGAGGTCCCAGTACTAAAACCGGGGATCCGAACAGTTTGGAGATAATTCCCGCTGATATTGAAAGTCTTCTCACCGCTGGTGAAACCACAACAACTACGACACTCAAGCCAAAGGCAGTCAAGCACTTTCTGATGCGAGTCCTCTATGAAAACAAAGTCATCTGCAGCGGGGCGCTAATCTCCAGTCGTTTGGTCCTAACCTCTGCCCACTGTTTTCCCAAAACGCTTCGTAAAAACCAAGCTCATCTATACAAACTACAGGCCAGTCGTAGTCGCATTTATTCGGTGGATAGTATTATACTGGGCTCCATTGAGGACATGGCCCTGCTGTTGCTCAAGTCCCCGCTGCAGGATGCGTTCGTCCAGCCGATTGAACTGTGTGACCAGCCGCTGCGAAGAAGTGACAATGTCACCATGTACATGTCACACGAACATCTGCGCTTCCTGCGCACCAAACTCATCGCCAATAGGAACTGCAAGCGGAGCTATGCCCAGGACGAGAACGCCTTCATCACCAAGACCATGTTGTGTGCCCTCAATTCGAATCGACTGGTGGACTGCCAGACGACCAAGGGGGATCTACTGCTGCACGGGGATCGGGTGTGCGGTGTAGACATCTATGGGCAGCACTGCTCCGACGGCGCTATCAACGGAGAGCTCTATGCGGACGTCTTCAAGGCCAGAACCCAACTGATGGGGTTTATTAAGCGGTACTCAAAATGATGGCTAAAAATATAAAAATATGTTTATGGAAAAACATGTATTACTTGTTTACTTATCATTATTATTTATTATTTTTAATTATAACTTAAAATTATATTGAAAATTTTAAAATTAAAAATTTAAAATTTAATCATTTTTTATTATAACTAAAACTTATATTTGAATTCTTTTAAATTTTTTTAATTCATAAAAAAAATATTTTTAAAGATAATTCAAAGAAGATTTTCTTACCTAAAATTTAAATTATATTTATAAGGGATACCTTTACATTTTATATGTATTTTCTCTTCCATTTAGTTTTACTAACAATTTTGATTTGCCTGAGCTTTGCTTACTCTATTCCAAATACCTATATTATTTTTGTGCCAAGTAAAAATAAGCGATGGCACATACATTTATTGTCGCTGTTCAATGTTCGAGTGCTGCCCAAATCAAATCAATCTCACTAAACAAACATTCCAAATAAAAGGGCGAAAGTGGGGCGGAACAAAAAGTGGCAAAAAAGTGAAGGGATGCCGCCTTCTGTTGGTCGCCGGGGAAAATTGAAAGTCGCCACCAACAAAATCAGAGGAACATAAAGAACACAGAAGCCGGTGATGTTTTTTTAACATTTTATTTTCTTTCAATTTGCGGCTTAAAAAAGTTAACTGTTCCCATCAAAATGCCCTGAACTGCAATGACTATGATGTATGTAAATTTGAGTGAAAAAACAAATGCGAAAAATAACAAACAAAAATTGACAAAAAAGAAAGTAAAAAAATAAAACAAAAACAGACACAAACGACTCTACCAAACCCTCTAAAAACATCATGACAGGAAAAAGGTGTTACACTTGGCTTGAAATTTACACCATCGGTGGGCGGGGCAACAAAAAAAAAGGGAGGGGGCGAGATGAAAAACCGGGAAAAACCCCGAAGCTGCGCCGGCGGCCATGGATCCTCGTCGCTGGCTTTTGGCTTTGGCTTTGCGCTAAAATATGCAATTTTGTCATGAAATATGCACATGTCCACCGCGCGACAAGGACGAACCGACCCACCACCACCCACAACCAACACCACCATCAGCGACATCAACAAAATAAATTTAAAAAGCAACATACATAAATAAATTAAACATTTAAAAAATCCAAGGGGAATAATGAAAGATATAAAAGGCTTAGACTCAACGAACCTGTTAGTGCCCTTCATATTTACACTCGAAAAATAATTTATTTGAAGCGATGATCGATATAATATGCTCAAAATGTAAACAAAAGGCCAGTTAGAATTTCGAATATGTTTTTCTTTCCCCCTCCCCCCCCTCATGTAAACTTAAGCGCTATCTTACTCTATTTCGAATCTCTGAGAGAGAAATCGGTATTGCACGGTAAAAACGATATGCCAGAAATTTACCATGCGCATATTGATTTAACCACGACGTGTTTTTTTTTTGTGTAGGACGTATAAAATATTAATCAGATGTCTATTAAACAATTTCAATTTATAAAAAATTAAAAAAAAACTTTTACAAGCTGATTATTAAACAACTCAATTAGCTGGATTTAAAGAGCATTAATGGAAACCATCAAGCCCAGTCCAAAATTCGCTATGACTTTTCCCCAGCCACGCCCCCCACCATTTGACATTTAAATGCGGCGAAGCCTGTCGAAAATTTTGCCAGCAACATCAGCGCGAACAACTAAATTTATGTACATAGAAATTAATATTAAAGAAAAAAAGAGCAAATAAAATAAAGGATTCCAAATGGCCGGTGGTATGGTATTAGTGCAACATGGGATATAATATTGAAACAGAAAGCACAGAAAAATGTCAGGATAAAACTTCGACACTCGTGTCGTGATAATAAAAACAATAAAACAAATATATTCCATTTGACTAAAAAATTGTTTCCCCCGGGGGTTTTAATGCGCCGAACCCACCCCCATCCACCTAACCACTTACCGCCCCCTTTTTATTCCAGCGCGACCCGCTGACCTACCGCAAATATTTATTGTTTGACAATTTTTATTGCCTACTTTCAGGCGATTGTCGCTAGCAAAGAAAAAACAGGAAAAAAAGCGGTAAAACTTTTCAGAAAAAATTCAAAAGGCGTTAAAATGATTTCGAGAAACTTTTGCCTTACGTGACTTTGGCCCCCAACATCGGCGACCACTTCGCTGAGCCTACATATTGTTCAATTTCCGACCGGGCCGCACTGACTGAATCAAAATAGGTGGCATAAACAGCAGCCGCGGCAACAAAAGTGTTTGGGGACCCTGCGCGATGGGTATAAAATAAAAGTTTTCCACTTAAGGTTTATGAAAAGTTTAAGCCCGGCCGGCGAACCCAGGGGGATGTCCCTCTACATTCACACCTCCTTCCGGAAACGGAAACTACGGTCGAAAAATGATGAATACGAACCCAGGACCATCTCGAGATCCCCGGCCAATACAACAACAACAACAACAGAGGGATGCCGGCAATGGCTATAATATCCTTGGACCTGCTCAAAGATTTTTCGCAATAAGGAAACGTCGCCCTCTAGCTGCTGCCACCTTCGACTTCCTGGCCATAACCACTTAGGAGCCACCAAGTTTTTCCCACACAGCGGCGGGGAAAAAGGAAAACTCCCTAAATGCAAATAATAATGTAATTGCCGGCAATTTTCTTGAAGTCTGTTTACCTTTCGCTTCAGCGTTGTTAAACTTTTATGAGATTTGGACTGAATTTTAAAGCATTTACACCTGGCCCGCGCAATGACAAATGAGCAAATGAATTGAACCCGATTGCGGGGCTGAGAGCCAATTTAAAATCAACCCCCTCCCCCTTGGCTAATTGCAGGTCGGACCCACTAATTGAGTGCAAGTCAAGCAAATCGGCTAATTAGCAGCGGAGGCAATCTAAGCGGACTACGGACTACGATTGAGCCGAGAGAGCCCAGGACCGGTGAAAAGGATATGCAATTTGCACGGACAGGACACTTGATCCGAGGCGAAGCGCGGAATTGACAGGCCGACCGCAATATTCCGGTTTAATGCCTTATTAATTGGCTGCTTAACCGATGGAATGGGATTTCCCTCGATTTCCCTGTTGGCTAAGGTAACTTAAAAACTACATTTGGTGATGCACTCGAAATGGAAATACAGTACATTCAAATAAGATGGGAATTAATTACAGAAAAATAACTGGGTTAGAGAAATTCTATTTATAATATTACTAGGGTTGTTTTCTCGTCTGTTGGTTAAATGTAAAGTATGGTATAAACCCTGAAATCGAATGGGAACTCTGAGTTTAAGCCAAAAGAAAAAGTTCTTAAAGTATGAAAGCTATAGCTACAAATTATACACAGGGTTTATGCAATTTATAATTATAATTATTCTAATATCTATTTTCGGTAAGTTTAACATCAATGTTTTTTCAGTTATTTTTTTGCCATCATTATTATTAAATAAAATTAAATATTTTTGTCTTATAACATATCTTAAAAATTATGTATTTTAATTTAATTAAATTATGAAAGCGTTTTTAAAACCATTTAAAAATAATTCCTTGTGCACTCGTATGACTTCTCGTATATGTAAATGAGCGTGCATATTTTTCCGACTCCACTTGCGGTCTAAGTGCTAGGCCGGAGTACATTTCGAGAATGTTTTCGGATGTCGCCGGCAAAGACCAAGACCAAAAGCAAGACCAAGACCAGGAACACGTGCCGAGGGGCAAACACGTGCCAACGGGGGCAACCACGTCGCCCGTTGACTTTTCATAGATTTAGTAGTACATTTTTCTTGGGGCCACAGAGCAGCGCCACTTTGCCGCTGAGCCGAACGCACCGCCAAGTTTTCTGTTTTCCGGTGGGTGGATACGTGCCACATGCCACATGTGTCGGCGGTTGAAGGAGCAGGGGCATACATATTTATTTGAGCTGCGCATAATGAGCGTTATTTATATTTAAGCAGCTGCGGAGCAGACACAAATCGTAAATAAAACGTTTTAATTTATTAGGCAAGTGATAATTCCCGAACTCGTAGGCCTGGAAGAGGCCATAAAAACGATATGCTAATTGCAAAATCGGATATCCACACTTTGAGCGACACAAAGTTCGAATTTGTTCAACCCCAGGACAATCAATCAAATTAACCCAATGCCCAAGGCCAAGTGGCAAAATGCTTAAATTGATTTGTTGGCCTCTCGGCAAGGTCAACCTTTGACGTCAGCCAGACGTCTAAATTGAATCAGTTAACGTGGCTAGGAAATATAATTGGGAAAAGGGAAAAACTAATTGAACTCGAGCAACCGTGGTAGGTGAAACCCAAAGGCGATTGATTTCGTAACTTAAAATTAAGGGAAATAATAAATGCAATGTGAGGTCAAATAAATATACTTGTTTATATATATTAAAAGCAGGTAGTTTTGGGCACACCTGATATAAAGTATATCAAATTCATATATGAATGGAAAAAGTAAATGTAAATACTTAATACAATAAAGTACTCGAAATTTGAGGAAAATCTTAACTTGTATTAATTTTATTAATTTAAGAACCACTATATATAATTTGTATGATAAATGGCTAATCGATCTAAGCACCTGCGTGTCCTGAAGTGTCCTTTTCTTTCCAATCTTATTACTGCATCTGGGGGTTCCATTAGGACTGAGCCAGCTTCTTCTTCTTCTTTGGCCCCCAAAGCTTATTATGATAATTGGAAATTATATGTAACAAGAGAGAACGCTATAGTCGGGTTGTTGTCCCGACTATCTAATACCCGTCACTCAGCTAAAGGGAGTGCGAACGCTGTGTCGGGTTGGTGTCCCGACTAATAATCGTAACTCAGCTAAAGGGAGTGCGAGGGAGATAGATATATAATTTTTGATTGCGTATAACTTTTTAATGAATGGTCCGATTTGAAAAATGTCTTCTACATTTCGATAGGTATAAATATACACAACAAAATTGCATTTATACTTCTCGGAAATCGTTAAAGATGTGGGCGCAGGACCCATTTTAAAATCGTTAGTGGGCGA